CCACAAGCCAACACGGCAGCTCTGAATCTGTCGGTGATCTCTCCGCCCAACAGTTCACACATTTGATAAGCATTGCAAGACAAAGCCTTGATACTAGCTCCCATACCACTCCTACTGGTTCTACAAGATGGAGACTCTTCTCAGAGTCTGAAAGTGAAGATTTTGACAACGATTCAAACGCCAGCTTCAGCCTCTACAGATTTAGTGCTTACGGTGGAGACTCTGATGCTTCCACGGACAGGCATGGTTTCCTCGATGCCGAGATCTTTCTTCAACCAGACGACAGGAGCGACATTGACTTTGACACTGATATAGACCCGATGCATGCTGGTCTCAACCAATGGAGCTCAGACGAAGAAGACAGCAGGCAATGGGAGGAGGAAGAAGCGGGTCCATCTGCACCACGGCATACCAATTATTTGGCAAGTCCAAGTGAGAGCTACAGCTCCATGACTCGGTTTGATTCACCTGAGTTAGAGAGAGGGTTTCGTCAAAGGATTATAGAGAGGAGACAGGCGTTGTCTCGCAACATCTTCACTGGTTTGGAGGATATGGAGTTCTCTCCCTATGCTGCAAATGTTGGGGATTATCTTGATGAGAGAGGCTTTGAAGAACTGCTTGAGCAACTTGCTGAGTCTGACAATTCAAGAAGAGGTGCACCACCTGCATCTGTGTCATGCGTCAGAAATCTTCCAAGGGTTATCATTGGAGAGGAGCATGTAAACAAGGGCCTGGTCTGTGCGGTCTGCAAGGATCTTTTCACCCTCGGTAATGAAACCACGCAGCTTCCGTGTCTACATCTATACCATGCTCATTGTATTGTACCTTGGCTGAGTGCCCGTAACTCCTGCCCACTCTGCCGTTATGAGCTCCCAACAGATGATAAAGATTACGAGGAGGGAAAGCAGAATGTGCTGGATGTGAGCGAGGATAGCTCCTCCTCTGATGATGACACAGACGCGGGGGAAGAGGAGTATGTAGAGAGAGGTGAGAGCGAGGCTGGTGTGAGCAGGATTAGCAGAGGAAGATGGCTGTTTCTGGCCGCTGCACCAGTTGTGAGTCTGATGGGCGTGGTGTTGGCAATGTGGCTAAGCAACCCACAGAGGAGAGATATAGTAATCTCTCATAGCCAAAGAGGGAACAGAACCAGAAGATGGCTGCCGTTTTTCTGACTGATGGACAGCTCCAGGTGTTTGCCTCCATAATCTGTACTTTAATAGATCCCAAAAGATGCTTCAGTCTTATTTCATTCCGTCTCTGTTTCATCAGCTGAATACTGACTTCTGCTGTTTCCCACATGTTAGTTTAATTGAAGTTTAACCAAAAAAGTTGTGATGTGTGTTGCAAATATTCTTGATATATTCAGAGAAAAAGGGAGTGCTCTTGTATGCCATAAAGTTGATAGGGTTATTAACTCACATTTACACAG